AAGCCACACAGAGAAGGCCACATACCGTGTGATTCCATTTAAATGAGGTGTCTAGAGTAGACAAATCCAAAGAGCAGAAAAGAGATGACCCATTGCCAGAGTTAGAAGGAAGCGGAGATGAAGATGGACTGTTATTAAGTATGGAGCTTCTTGAGGTAACAAAAATATTCAGGAATAGATAGTATATCGCAATTCTGAATATACTAAATATTATTGAATTGTACACTTTAAAATTGGATAGTTTATGGCATATGAAGTTTATCTGAATAAAGCTGTCATTTTAAAAACTAAATAAAAAAAAACATGATTCAATATGAAAAGGGACAACAATTAAATATGGAAAGGGAGATGAGACATTTTACCATGGAAAATACGTGAGTGGCTACTAAGCACATTAAAAGACATTCAACATCATCAGCCACTAGGGACATGCACATTGAAATCATAAAGAGATAACAGAACACATCTATCAGAATGGCTAACATAAAAATAGTGAAAAACTACCACTGAGGGTGCAGGAAAACCAGATTACTCCTACACTACTCACGAGAAAGTAAAATGGTACAGTCACTTTGGAAAATAATTTGGCAGTTTCTTTGAAAACTAAAAATGGATTTATCATATAATCCAGCTACCGTATGGTAAAAAGAACATTTATCTCACAAAAATTAAAACTTATTTTCACGTGGAAACTCGCACACACGTGTTCACAGTAGCTTTATTTGTAATAGCCAAGCCTGAAAAACAGCCGATTAGCTTTCAATGGGTTTATGGTCAAAACAGCTGTGTAACACCCATCACCATGGATTACGAGTAACTAGCGACACGTGCACTAACATGGGTGGCCCACAGGATGTATTCCGAGAAAGCCAAGTTTCAGAAACACAGACTATACCTCATGTGTCCCTTCATGCAGCCTTCATGAAAAGAGATCATTACCAACACGGAAAACAGAGCAGTGGCTTGCAGGGGTTAGAGATGGGGGGAGAAGGGTGAGTGTGCCCAAAAAGAAGCCTATGGTGATGGTTTAATTGAGCACCTCGATGTGGAGATGAGTCCATGAAGCTACAAGCGGGATAAAACTACACACACACACGTGTGCACACACACGTACATGTGGGTGTAAACTGATAAACTTTGAATAAACTGTATGGTTGGCACAATGCTATTTTTCCAGTTTTCATCTTACAATAAAATGACACAAGATGCAGCCGGTGCCGCAGCTCACTAGGCTAATCCTCTACCTTGCGGCGCCGGCACACCGGATTCTGTCCCGGTTGCCCCTCTTCCAGGCCAGCTCTCTGCTCTGGCCAGGGAATGCAGTGGAGGATGGCCCAAGTCCTTGGGCCCTGCACCCCATGGGAGACCAGGATAAGTACCTGGCTCCTGCTATCGGATCAGCGCGGTGCACCGGCCGCAGCGTGCCGGCCGCGGCGGCCATTGGAGAGTGAACCAATGGCAAAGGAAGACCTTTCTGTCTCTCTCACTGTCCACTCTGCCTGTCAAAAAATAAAATAAAATAAAATAAATGACACAAGATGTTAACACTGGGGGAGGCTGGGTGAAGGGTTTGTAGGACCTCTGTAGGACCTTCTTGTGGATGTGTAATTAATTCAAATAAGAATTTTGGAAAACCTTAAATTTATTCTTAATTAAAACTTTCTCCTCTTCCTAAGTTATCTAATTCCATAAATGTGAAAGCTAGACACATGCGCAGGAGCCCAAGGCTCTACCTCTCCTCTCAACATCAAATGATAATAAGTAACATTTATTGAGTGCTTCTTCTCTAGCAGGTATGTGGCTTATCTGCTTTATTTTTCACATCCACTCTGCTAATACTCCCATTGTAAATATAAGAACACTGAGCTATGTTAGGGGTTCATGGCTATAGCCAACGTCAAACAGGAAGAGGGCTCTGACGTCCAGAGCCCACCCACTCCGAAATCACCAGACTCAGGATCCACCCATTCAACTTAACTTAATGTCTTAATTCAAGATTGCGTTAGTCACTACATGAACCACCTGTTTACTACACCCCTAAGGAAGCAAACACACCCCACATCCCTGAGTGGTAAACCAACCCTAACAAAAGGCAAGCCCCTGGTTTCCTCACGTAAGGATTTAAGGATTTTGGCCAACTTTAATCTATTATCAGATAGTACAGTGATTCAAATAACCAAGCAGCAACTTCATCATTGCAATGGAGTATTACATAAAATAGATTAATTTGAAAATACGGCTACCTTCATTCTCCTGTGTTCTGAAACCCTTTTATTCAGATACTTTACACACATCTTTAACTTCAGCGTGCTCACAGTTTTCATCCAACACAGGCTTCCAGAATATTCTCTACATTTCTAAGTTCCTTAAAAATGAGTGCTTCGGAGTCCTTTGTCAATACTTTTCCTGAAACACTCACCCCAAGCTAAAAGGATCTGTTCATGAAACATCAAGAAAATGTAAGATTTCTTAAAATTTGCTCTTAATTCAGTGGTTCTTTCAATGCTGCCTACAGATTGAAACCATCTAAGTAACTTTAAAACCCACTCATGCCAGGGGCCAGCAGTGGGACACAGTGGGTTCAGCTGCTGCCTGCGACACCGTATCCCATGTCACAGCACTGACTGGAGTCCCTGCCGCTCTGCTTCTGATCCAGCTCCTTACTAACGTACCTGGGAAGGCAGCTGATAATGGCCCAAGTGCCTGGGCCCCTGCCACCCATGTAAGAGACCTGAATGGAGGAGTTTCAGGCTCCTGGCTTTGGCCTGGCCCAGCCCTGGCCACTGCAGCCATTTAGGGAGCGAACCAGGGGCTGGAAGTTCTCTCTCTTCTCCCACGCTTCTCCTCCGTCTCCTCACCCCTTCCCTCTTTCCCCTTCTGGTTTCAGATAAATAAAAAATAAACCTTTAAAACAATAAAAGTAAAATCTACTAGTGCCTGGAGCTTGGTCCGCCCCAGATAGCGATTTCACTGACCTGGCGTGGGTGCAGGGAGTGGCACATCCTGAAGCTCCTGCCATGACTGCAGGGCAGCTTGCGCCCGAGAGCCCTGCTGGGGTGTGTGAGGAGGGAAGTCCACCATGTCCTGGAATAGACCTTGATTGCACACAAGAATCACCTGGACGGCTTTCCGTCCATACTCGATGCTACCCGGGCTCTCTTCCAAAGCAATGGTTCTGACTTAGCTGGGGTTGGGGCCTAAGCATTCTTAGGTTCAAAAACATCTCAAGTGCATCTCATTTGCAGGCAGAATTGAGAGCCATCACTCAATATTGCCACTCAAGAGGTCTGCTTTACAAGTGAGCCCTGAAAGAAAAAAAAAAATGGTGTACTCACCATCAAATTTATTTATAATGAATAAGGTCACATCAGCCTCCCACCCCAGGGACTTCCTAAATGGGGCTGAAGATCTGTTTCCTTCTGTTTCTATTGTATCTGGTGACCTCTATAAACATCCAAACACAGCTCTCACGGAAAACATGTTAACCTAATTTGGCCTCCTCAAATAGTTCTTGGGTGTCTAAATAAAGGAATTGAAAAAGTATCCCCTCAGAGAATTTTTTTTTTTTGACAGAGTGGACAGTGAGAGAGAGAGAGACAGAAAGGTCTTCCTTTGCCATTGGTTCACCCTCCAATGGCCGCCGTGGCCGGTGCGCTGCGGCCGGCACACCGCGTCGATCCGATGGCAGGAGCCAGGAGCCAGGGGCTTCCCCCTGGTCTCCCATGGGGTGCAGGGCCCAAGAACTTGGGCCATCCTCCACTGCACTCCCGGGCCACAGCAGAGAGCTGGCCTGGAAGAGGGGCAACCGGGACTAGAACCCGGTGTGCTGGCGCCGCAAGGTGGAGGATTAGCCTAGTGAGCCACGGCGCCAGCCAGAGGAGAGATTTTTATCAAGACTGCACTATGGGGGCCAGCGCTGTGGCGTAGCGGGTAAAGCCGCCACCTGCAGTGGCGCCGGTTCAAGTCTTGGCTGCTCTTCTTCCAATCCAGCTCTCTGCTATGGCCTGGGAAAGCAGTAGAAGATGGCCTAAGTCCTTGGGCCCCTGCACCTGCGTGGGAGACCTGGAGGAAGCTCCTGGCTCCTGGCTTTGGATCGGAGCAGCTCCGGGCATTGCGGCCAACTGGGGAGTGAACCAGCTGGTGGAAGACCTCTCTCTCTCTTACTCTGCCTTTCAAATAAATAAATAAATCTTTAAAAAAAAAAAAAAAGACTGCACTATGAAGTGAATCCTTTTTTCTCTGAGAGACAAATTGGGCAGAAAATGTCACTTTACTTTTGCACCTATCATCGACAATTACTGGTTCTTGGTATCTAGGCATCATGTTAAATGTTTTCCTGCCCGACCTCATTTACTCCTAAAAGCGCATATAGGACATATAAGTATTATTAGCCCCACTTTGCAGAGGGACAAATTACCTGAGGTTACCAGCCCGCTGGGTGTGTGGCCCCAGAACGTGACCTGGGCCTTCCTTGTCCAGCGCTGTACTGCCCCCTTGTGGCTTGGCTGTCCTTGCCGTCCAGAGCACTAGGGAATAGCGTGGTGGACAGTAAGAAGACATCGCAGGGCCGACGCGGCGGCTCAGTAGGCTAATCCTCCGCCTGCGGCACCGGCACACCGGGTTCTAGTCCCGATTGGGGCACCGGATTCTGTCCCAGTTGCTCCTCTTCCAGACCAGCTCTCTGCTGTGGCCCGGGAGGGCAGTGGAGGATGGCCCAAGTGCTTGGGCCCTGCACCCCATGGGAGACCAGGAGAAGCACCTGGCTCCTGCCATCGGATCAGCGCGGTGTGCCGGCCGCAGCGGCCATTAGAGGGTGAACCAACGATAAAAGAAAGATCTTTCTGTCTCTCTCTCACTGTCCACTCTGCCTGTCAAAAAAAAAAAAAAAAAAAAGACATCTCCAACAGAGAGATGGAGTGAGAGTGTCAGCAGTCAGCAGAAGTTTTTCCTCCACCCTGCCTTTGTGGTCCAGTCCAAAGCCCCAACATTCCCCAGTTCTCCAGGTCTGTGACATCACAGATGGCCTCCTGTCCACTCTGCCAGCTGCAGGTGAGTGAGGCTCAGAGGTTAGACCTAAGAGTGGGAGGGAGTAGATTTTCTACATCAAAAGGGACAATGGCCCCACCAACTTCTGGACTTTCACTACAGGAAGCAGACACCACTCCTCATTTGACTTGGCCTCATTGTTTTTCTCTCTGAGTCCGGGTCTCCCTATGAGTCTGAGAAGCTTCCTGTTATTCCTTGTTGACTTTTGTTGTTCTGGTCAAAATGCTGTGAGGTGGCTAAAGCCCTGAAACTCACAGCCCACTGGGGAAATGAGCTGAGGGCCATTCTCTGTGGCCCCTGCTTCCACCTAGAGGAGGGCACTGGTAGTGCAGGAAACACCACACCCACCACTAGCTAGTCCTCACGACCACCTGTTATTATTAACCCCATTTTACAGGTCAGACAACTGGGGTTCCCAGAGGTCACACATCCTTCTCAATGTCATAGCGAAGTAGATCTTCACAGTTGGCACCCCCTGAGAATGTACTTGTAATTGCTACAGAGCCATTCCACTTCTGAAGAGGACTGACAAGTCCGAAATCCTCTGCGGTCAACCCTCGGGGGAGAAAGTATTTTACTCCCCTCTCCTTCTGGTGAAATTGCCTGCCAAAGATGTGGAGGGCGTGAGACAAGCCTGTGTGTTAAGTTCCTGCTGTACCACTAATGGGGAGTGAGATCTAAGTATTTTTTTTTCCCCTCAGGGGAAAAAAAAAAAAAAAGCAAGGTGAAAAATATGGAGCATAGCAAACTACTGAACTGAAAGGAGACAGAGGGGAATTTGAATATATACATTTTCTAGTTACTACACAAGCTGCTGTAGAAGAAAAAAGCCTGGATTTAATATGTGAAACACAAATGGAATTGTTTCTGGGTAAACAAGGAAGAACCATGCTTGCATGGCCAAGGCTAAGGGCTGCTGGGGAAGGTGCTGAGCCCAAGGACTGGTGGTGTTTCTGGGGCAGGAGGGCTAGGGAAAGGTAGAGCTTCAGCTGTGAAGTGTAGCTGCTACCAGGTGTCAGTTATGGCCGCTGCAGCAAAGTTCCACGGGCTGATCGAACGGGTTTGACACAGGTACCGCTGATGGCTGACACCCATGGGTACAGGGCAATCAGGTTTTTCCTGGGAGAGTGGGTGCCTCTCTTTACATTCTCAGGCTCCCTCCACCAGAGCTGCAGGAAACACCCTCCGAGATCGTGCAGCTCTCCACTGCTAGCATCCGCCTTCCTTCCTTCATTTTCCCATTTCTAGAGATCTGCTTTTGGTTTGCCTGTTGGTCAGCCTGATTTCCTCTCGTCTTTGTCTTTGAATCATTTGTCGCATCATCTGCGTCACCAGAGGCTGCATAAAAACATTCACCTCTCTGGACAACACACTCTGAGTGACGTGAGGCAGTCAAGAACAACTTCAGTATTCAAGAAGGATTGCAAAGGCTCTTCAGGCACACGATCAGTGATTTCCCAGGCACAGCCATCTACCCAGCTCAGGTTCACTTTTCTTTTGGCTTAGACAGATGGTGGTACTTCCACAAGCTTGTGGGAATGCATATTGTGGGAAATCTCTGCACGGATTTCAAAAAAAAAAAATGTTTGCACCAAAATAAACTTATCTTTTTAAAATAATGTAAATGTTTTGAGAAGCAGAGAAAGTGAGAGCAAATTTCCATTCATTGGTTCACTCCCTAATTGCCTTCTATGGCCAGGGCTAGGCTGAAATTAAAACTGAGAGCTAGGAACTCAGTTCAGGTCTCCCGCATTGGTAGAAGGAATCCAGCTACTTGAACCATCATTACTGCCACCCAGAGTCTGCATTAGTCAGGAGGTGAGAGACAGGAGCCAGAGCCAGAGACAGGCATTGAACCCAGGTACTCCCCTAGGGCGTATAGGCATTGTAACCACTAGGCCAAATGTGCATCTCTAAACATCTCTTTTCATTCCACTTTCCCATGAACTTGTTGAAGCACCCTTATAGATTAATGTCACCTGGGGTATTAATACAGGTGAAATGCGAAGTATTGGCAGTGGTGCCACTTCCTCTGGCCAAAACAAAATCCAAAGGTTTTCTATTACCATAATTACTAAGGATCTTTAATTGGCCAGGTGCATCCCCAGTGCAGGCCCTAGCATTACTATGACCAAGGTGACAGCAAATGCGCACTTAGAGGTGCGCAGCTCACAATCCTCAGTCTGTTCCATCCCCAGGAGAGGTTTTACCCCTTCAGTCTCCGTGTGAGACAGTGCAATCTGCTGAGGACGCCGGGCAGTCATCCCCTTGGAAGGGTCTAAGCACCTGCCACACAGAACACTTCGACTTACTAGGAGTTGGCATTAAAGAGTCTGACTTGCCCAGGAGAGCAAGCCACTTGCACAAGCCAGCAGAACTGCTGTCCCTCCATACACAAAAACAATTTCCCTCGGGAGTTGGAAGAAGGCAGTCTGGGAAGGTGTTGTGGCGAAGTTCTCTGTAAGGGACATCACCGCACAGCTGTGAACAGCTGGCCTTTGGGCTCCAAATGCACAAAGAGCAGGGGAACCCAGGCCCTGGTTTTATTTCAGCAGCCAATTGTCTTACCCAGGAGGCCATAAGATGATTTTCATGTCTACCCAACATTTAGGGACTCCTGGAAAATGAGCAGAATACCTATGTTGACATTCCCATTCCAGGACATATATTTTTTTCCGAGTCCCTAATTCCCCTGAACCTTTTCCAAAAACAGAAGAAAAGTCTCGCTCTCCTGAAGCGCCTGTCCTGCCCCGGAATGTCCTGTGAGGGTGTCCTGAAGTCTATTACGTCTCTCATCAACTCCTCTTCACTTTGTTGATTTGTGTTTTGACTCTATTCCCGATACACCCCTTAGAGACAGGCTTTCCAAACAGTTTTATGTGATGGCTTTCCTATTTCCTCTTAGCTTCTCATAAAGCATGAATAGGTGGGATATATAAATCTTGCAATTTTTTTTCCATCTTACTGATTTTGAACATTTCCCCCATCATCAAAGGTCAACAAATAACTGAACGAATTGGTGCAAAGACAATAGTCTAGCAAAATAAATAACTCTCGGGATCTTAAATTATTCAATAACTTTCTACTGTTCTGAAATTGAGGACGATTCTAAATATTTGCAGTTAACTCTCTCCCTGAGTTTCGATCCAGCCTCTCTGGACTTAGCTGCTGGTGCCTGAGCTTTAGAGGGGATACGGTGTTTGTGATTGTTCTTGTCTAGAAAAAGGCCCCCTGAAGCTTGTCCAGGCAGGCAGGGAAAGGAATAGAAGGAGTTACGAGTGGGTGGTAAAGAAAAGGTTGGATGGAGCCAGAGAGAGGCAACCAAAGATGGCAGAAGGTTTGAGTAGGAGTAAGAGCTTTGCTTTTGTTTTTTCTTTCTGAGGCCGCAGTGTGCCAGTCAAAGTCCTTTGTTGGATGGTTGGTGTTTCTGTCCTCTCTCTGTTCGGGAGTCCCTCTTATTGTTGACACCCCAAGTGTGCCGTCATGGCCATGGTAATTCTAAGTCATCTAGGGCAAGTTTGCCACCTAAACAGCACAAAGAGCACCTGCAGTGGGACTACACAGGCCAAGTAGGAGCTTTTCCAGGAAGAGGCAGAAACTCCACGTGGAGGAGACCGTGACAAATCTGAGCGAGTGCACTACATGTGGACCCATGAACGGAGTCTCAAGTTCCCCGGCCAAGCAGAGCCTAAAGGAGCCGTAGAACCTACATCCTGGAAATCAGTGACCCCAGAACACGGTGGAGGTGGAGCGACTTCATTTTCTCGTGTCACAAGACAGAATGTGAGCTCGTGAAGGCTTGGGAGCACCCAAGTCCAAGTTCAAGTTAGTTTCTTTATACCAATCAATCGCCAATCTAACAGAGCCCCAAATGTGCTCAGGGCTGACCCGTGGTGGGCTTGTCAGACCTGTGCCTCTACTTTCTAATTCAGAAGCACTTACGTCTGCATTCAACGTGCATAGGACGATCTGGAACAAAGCTGTACACCAGGGAGCAAGTGTTTGTATAAAGGTTCTTCACAAAGTTCATGGAAAATGCATATTGTTTTAAAAAAAAGTATGGATTTCAAACTTGGGGCACCAAAACAAACTTATCCTTTAATTCCGTTTCTCCACCAACTTTATAAAGTATCCTCATTTGAGCAAATGAAGAAAATTGAAACTAGGACAATAAGCAGAAGATTACACAGATTAATGACAAGGATTTCTATTTCCAAAAACAAAATATTTTACTGCCTTATATAAATTTCAATGTGTTTATTCCACTAAATGGGGCCCAACAAACTATGTGAGAGTCCAAATTCTCTTGAGAAGCTCACCTGGCTGCAGGTCCAGAAGTTTGTTGGAGTTGGAGCCAGATGAACCCAGTGAATACTGCATCTTGGTCATGGATCTCACACAATGGGGCTATCTGAACGGGCCTGACCTGCTGGCTGTATCTGACCACAAGGACTAACTCACGTGCACTAAGTTCAAGATCAGTTAGTGGGAGAAATGAGACCTACTGGGCATAGAATCGCTACCCGATAGTCAGAGAAGACTCAATATTTATGCAACAAGTATATTTATAAAGTACCTATTCCATGCCCATCCTTAGGCTGAGTGCCATGGATGCAAAAGTGGAATCAACCACTCTCCTGCTTCCATGTGAGTGGAGCATTTGTCTGTCTTGTATCTTATTCACTGCTGTATCTCCAGCACCTAAAAACACCCAGCACCTGGTAGGCTCTCAATACATGTGTTAAATCAATGAAAAGCACTTGTGGGCCAGCATGTAGCCTGTCAGTGACTGCCCAGGCATTTCCAATGCTTCCAACAAGTACTTAGTAAACACTGGCTATGAGTTAGGTGGCCAGTGTAGTCATGGATCGTGATACAGGGAGACATGGCAGGTGGGGAAGGAGTGTTGTGGTGGTTCAAGAAGAGAATCCCAGCACATGCCATGGTTTTCCATAACCCCTGAACTGAGTCTTGAAAGGTGATGAGTGAGGGAGTGAGGTGAGAACAGTCCAGGTAGAGTGCAGATCAGGAAAATGCACAGAGCTGATAGGAGAGAGCTGTTGGGCAGCATCTCTTCCAGCTCTAAGGGGGGGCGAATGAGGCTGAAGATATCAACGGAGTGATCGTGAAAGGGCTTGGATCTGCAGACTCGGGGAGGCCCTCAAGGGGCTGAGGCAAGAGTGATGCCATAGGATTTGCCATTTGGCCAGGGAACTCCAGCCCAGGCAGGGGGACATACAAACCAATGAGAAAGTTCTGGCAGCAGTCCAAGTGAGAGAGGCTGGTGACCCAGGCAACACCGAGGGCAGCGGCAATGGACTATAGCAGGCAGAGTGATGAGATATCTGCAGGGAAATTCAAGACTGAAGGCAGGAGGATGGGAAGGAGGCTGGCAGGAGATAGACTGGGGTTGCAGTGGATGGGGGTAACAGCCCCCTATCAGGTAAACAGTACAACTAAAATTGACCTATGAAAGCATCAGTCAGCTTAACACATGGGCAGCTAGGTTGTGTCCCACAGATTGTGATACTCTTGGGACAAAAATTATCACTCAAGTCCCTATTCTGTCCAGGCCTGCCAGTGCCTTTACTAAGCCAAAGGAGGAAAAAATACTGGCTTGCTCATTCATTTGACGAACATGTGTCAGACACTGAGAATGGATTAATAAATCCTACAGATGAAGGCATGACCCCCGTAAATTTATAATCTAGTGATGGAAGCAGACCAAATTTACACTCAATAAATACAAAGTGAATAACAGAAAAGTATAAGGAGAAGGGGCTGAGGATGTGCTGTGGGAGGTGTGAGGTTTTAAATGAGTAGACAGAGCAAGGCTCACTAAAAAGGCAGCATTTAAGCAGAAACGTGAATGACAGAACATAGTCACTTAACAGAACAGTGTTCCAGGCTCATCGAGGATAAAACAAGCACAGGTTCCCAAGCTGAGAGCCTGGTGGGTTTTAGAAATCATCAGTGTACCTCCAGGGGACTCAAGGGGAGATGAGCCGGAATTGAAGGCAGAGGGTTGGTGGTGATGCATAGGGCTTGAGGTGGGCACAGCAGGACGAGGAGGTTACAGAGAATCTTAGGGCCTAGGGAGAAACTCTGGATTTTCTACTGAGAAATATGAGAAGCCACTGAAAGGCTGGGGGCCAGGGGGTGGAGAACTAAGAAAAAAACTTCGGCATTCACCCCTGCGTGTCTGCCATTTCTTGTCCTCTTCTTCTCTTTCAGTAGATGTGAATTTCTCTCTGGTGTCATTTTGTTTCCTCCTTTTAACAGTTTTTATACCTGGGTGCTCTGAAGACAAATTCTGGTTTTGTTTACCTTGAAATGTTATTGAAAGGTATTTTCACTGAATATGCAGTTCTGGGCTTGCAGATTCTTCTTTTCTTTCCGCACTTAAAGGTGTCTCCAGTGTCTTCCAGCTTGCATTGTTTCTCATGCAAAATTAACTGGAATTCTTGTCCTCGGTTTGTTTTGTTTTGTTTTCCCCCAAATATAGTATGTCTGTTTTGATTCTGTTTGCCTTTTTTTAAGTTTTCAGCTGTTCGTATTTAAAGATTTATTTGTTTGTTTGAAAGTGGGTGGGGGGATCTTCCATCCCCGCCTGTTTGTGGAGGTGACTTGGGCCAAGATACAGCAGTAAAAGGAATGTGAAGCAAGCCCAGAAGGAGGCAGCGCCCACAGTAAATGTGGTGCTATTACCTAAGCAACACTAAAGTAAGAATTTCCTAAAGGAGGCTTTTGCCAAAGAAAGAGGAGTGGGAAAAGGAAGTATCCAGGGATCTGGAGGATTTGATCCCCAAAGAAAGGAGTTTGGGGCTGAAACAAGGCCTTATTCTTCTGGACGATGAGGCTTACAAAGGTTTTTAAAGAGGTCACCCGGCCTGAGTTCCTCTCACAACTCATGAAGAGCATGAGACACAAGAAGCATAGACTTTAAATTCACAGCAAGCCCAGGATTTAAACCTACCAATAGTACGTGCTTCTTTACCATGTTCTATAGCACTGGATCCATGGGGCTAACGAAGCCAATGAGCTACGCTAAGGGAGGAGAAAGAAGTTGAACAAGCATTGACTAAGCACTTACTGCATACCTAGCACCCAGGGGTCACTTTGCAAGTATTCAACCTTTCACTTCTACGAAGCAGCCACTACCATCCCCATTTCCAACATGACGAAGGTGAGAATCAAGAAGGCTAAGGAGGGACCCGCACTGTGGCACAGAGGGTAAAGCCGCCACCTGCAGCGCCAGCATCCCAAAGGGATGCCAATTCGAGTCCCGGCTGCTCCACTTCCAATCCAGCTCTCTTCTATGGCCTGGGAAAGCAGTAAAAGATGGCCCAAGTCCTTAGGCCCCTGCGCCCACATGGGAGACCTGGAAGAAGCTCCTGGCTCTTGGCTTCAGATGGGCACAGCTCCAGCCGTTGTGGCCAATTGGGGAGTGAACCGGTGGATGAAAGACCTCTCTCTCTCTCTCTCTCTCTCTCTCTCTCTCTCTCTCTCTGCCTCTCCTTCTCTCTGTGTGTAACTCTGACTTTCAAACAAATAAATAAATCTTAAAAAAAAAAAAGATTAAAGAATCTTCTGAAGAACATGGCAACTCGAAAGGGGGTAGAACACAGATCTATCTAAAATCTTAGTTTCTTATGCACATGTTTGCATGAGCGGGGGTTCTGCTGTAGTAGCTCCTACCTACCTGGAACATTAACACAGGTAGAAGATGGCATTTTTCAGCCACAGTCTTATGTTATCTAGGAAACAGCCCTGCCCGGTGAACTGGACTCAAATTCAAGATCGGCTGATTCAGCACAGCACCCCTGCAGACAAAGCTGGCAGAGTAGAGACTCCAACTCCCATCCATGGGTAAGTTGTTTTTTTTTTTTTTTAATAATAGGAAAAATGGCCTTAAGAGAAAGAAACCCAGGCAAAAGGGCCTGGACTTCCTGGTCATGGGGTGGGGGTGGGGGGGGTGGCTACAGAAGGTTTGGGAGAGGGGAGAGTTTTATACCTTAAGAGAGGCTGGCCCAATACAACCCCATGACAGTCAGGTTCCAAAGGCTTCTGGAATTCAGGTCCCAGAACCTGTGGCCCCCATTCCTTTGCCTTCTACAGCATCCTACAAAAACCTGGCCTCGAAGATCTTCTGTTTATGCTGCAAGGACTGTCAGGAACCCCAGGCCACCGACGACTCCAAGGTTCCCAGTCAAACTCAAGGGCATCAGCCACCAACCAGCAGTAGGTATCAGGTCAGAGTATGCCTCGTGGTCTCTCTGTGTCTCTTTGCTCTTTCCCCTCCTGCTGGGATGTCTCCAGGTCCCTTCACATGTTGAGTGATAGTTTCAATCTAAAAATAAGGTGGGGGATAGGTGGCAAAGTACCCCAACCAATAAACAAGAGAACTTAAAGCCGTATGGCCATGGACCAGCATCATTGGCATCACCTAGAGCTTGTTAAAACTCCATTTCAGACCCTCCTCAAGACCTACTGAATCAGAAGCTGCATAGAATAATATCCCCAGGTAAATTTGATGCTCAGTGTAGTTTGAGAAGCACTAGACCACAGATTATAAAGATAGTGGTCAAGAGCCCTGCTTTCTATATATGCTGATTGGAATCTCAACTCTCCCACAGAAGATGGGCAAGCCACTTCATCTCTCTGAGCTTCAGTGCCCTTACCTATAGAATGATACATTGTTACTTTTCAGGATCATTGGGAGGGTAAAATGAGACCATAGACACAAGCACCTGGACTATGAAGCTGGCTCAAACAGTGGAAGCAATACATGGCTACTGCGTTAGGAGGGGCTGGGCTCTGCCTTGAAATCTCAGTGGTTTACAAAAGGAAAGGTGTTTCTTGCTCATGCAGTCTAACTGGCATCAGACATCTGCTTTTCAGCTTCAAACAGGGCATCTAGAACATGAGTCAAGGAAAGAGAAAAAGACCGAGAAGGCATTCTGGCTTTCCATTGACAGCCATGAACTCTTGATGACCCAGGATAAGGGGTCATAGCAGAGAAGATGGGGTAGCAGTGTCAAAATCAGCAATTTCAGAAAGACATGTAAAAAAAACTGTTATTGTCAAGATTGGGCAAAGCCAGGACCGACAGGCAAATAAGTGTATGGCCAGGGCCGAACTCTCATAAATCAGGTACAGTTCCCACAATAGATGAGATAGTGCAATGGTAGGAAGCAATTATCTTGACACATTTTCCAGAAATCCATAACTGCAAGTCTTTAAAATACTTCCCCCTTGAAAGTAGCCTCATAATGAAAATCAAGAATGTGGAAAATGTCAATTTCTCCAATATCATAATCACAATAATGACTGGGGCTCTATTGCAGACAATGCACTGTTTAGACAGGGACCCAACTGTGATCAGATAATTCTCCAGCTGTGTGGGAGCTGACAGGTTACATTTTACTAGTAAATGATACTATTCATCCCCGCATAAACTCTCAGAAGTGGACACTATTACCCAAAAGGAGCAAACGATCTTGCAGATATGAAAGTAGAGGCAGAGGGAGGTTAAGCAATTTGTTCAAGATATGCAGATAATAAATGACAGCACCATTTGCTCTGCTGTAGAACAAATCTCAGCCTGATGATAAAAACCCTTGGTTATACTTCTAGAAGTACATGAAGACAAAGCTTCATAGGCAATAATGCTCATCACAACAGGAGTTGTTGTAGTACTAAAACTGACAACAGTCAGAGCATTAATGCTAGAATCTTGGTTAAATAAAGATTGAATTATCCATAAAATAGAATATGAGGCAACCATGATTTTTTAAATTCAGTGACATGAGACAAATATTTATGTTATACGTATATGAAAAAAGTAAAATGCATATGTAATATGTAGTAAATTATGCATAATGATAAAATATGCCCAGGAAAAGAGTGAAAATGTGATGGTGTCTGTAGGGAAGGGGGTATGGGATTTTTTTTTCTAATCCCCACTACTATGGATTACCTAACTTTATTTAATGGATACGCATTGCATTTATAAATGAGGAGAAAGTTAATATTTTAGAAAGAATACTTATTTTGAATTCACCTGCTCACAAGAAAGAGCACTTGGAGTATAGAGGAGGTAGACACAGGTATATACCCCCATCCCATAATAACCATCACTTGTCCATGTGCTACTTAAAGTTGGCCAAAAGCCGTCATTTCCATGAGCTCATCAGACCTCCCCACGTGACTGATTGTCGTTGCCAGATTTGCAGCTCCCGAAGGATGAGCAGGGCAAAAATCCCAAGCATGCTAACACCTCTTCCTGCTTGCCTTTGGGGCAACCCCTGATCCATCCAGAAAAGAGAGCTTCCTCCAGCAGCAGTGAGTTCGAGGGTAAGTCTCAAGGTGGGGCCTTATTGCTGACCAAGAATCCTGGAGGGAAGGGGCCTTCTCTTGGTGACCTGACCCCATGGTAGCTGAGCTAAGTGGAGTGACAGGTGAGGCAGACCAAGCATCAGGAAGCCACCGTCATATTCCAGATCACACTGGGGAGAGCCCAGGGTCCAGATCCTGACTCCATGATCTTCCAAACGACGTGAGGAGGAACAGGTGTGGCAGGATAAGATCCACATCCAGTACTTCCTCCGAGCCCTGTGGCATCAGCTTGTGTGCATTTTCTCTGATCATTTGCTTAGTGTCTACTTTGACCACTAGACAGTGAGGTCTAGGAGATCAGGACCCACATTGCTTTTGCCCCCTGTTGTTCTTGGAAACACAGCCAGGTGCAGGAAAAGCAGACAATGCCACACACACACACACACAAAACACACACACACACACACACAAAAAAAAAAAAAAACACTTGTGGCTTGAGCATGGTTCTGCTGAGGGTACAATGTCTCAAGGGCATGGGAGGACAGATGCCCAATCCAGATTAGAGGCACAGTCCAGAAAGGAGAAATACAGCCCCCTTGCTCTGCTCAGGGGTCCCACACCACCCACAGCCTCCCCAAGAGGCTAGGTTGTCAAGATCCAAGCATCATATGGCCCAGTCATTTTAGAACTCTCCTAATAGCTAACCCTCCTGCAGCAAAACCTCACCAAGTTGAGTTTCCATAAAAGATCAAGGGAGACTTGCTCTACTCAAATTGACAGTGAGGGGCTGGGGCCCCACTAGCTTGCCTACCCTCTGCCTGTGTCCTCCCTATCCCACCCCCCCAGAACAGAGGCCTCAGGAGGGGAAGGGACTTTCCACTCCTCCAGGTTGTGACATTAGGGTCAGAGCCACAACAGGCCCAAGCCTCCTACTCCATACCCCTGCACTTTGCAAGATGTTCTATGTCCTTGGCTCCACCAGCCGAGCACAATGCAAAACCTACTACAAGAAGCTCTTCCCCATCGCTGGGACGAGTCTTAGGGTGGGGTACCCATGGGAGGCAAGAAGCTGAGGCACGATCAGAGAGGGAAGCAAATGACCAGGAGCAGGCACCCAAGCCCAGTTCAAGGCCCCCCACCAGCGTAATGCTGCCTTTCTTTCAGACGTGGATACACATGCTCCCCAAAGAGGTTTTTATAAGAGGAACCTAAACCGCTACTCCCAGGAGCGCTGGCCATTCCAGCCATGCCTCATCGGCAGACCCTGACCATTCTAGTGGGCAGCCCCCAAGCCGGCCCCTGAGCTGTGCAGCTGCTGGGCGTATCCACAAGGAAGAGCCGGTGGGCAGGAGTCATGAAGACGGATTCACAAACTCCCCTGGAGGAGGAGGAGACGTCTGAGCCACCCCTGTGCACCTGCAGGAGCGCCTCCAGCTCCTGAAACGGCCAGGGCCACAGAGGAGCTGCTTCCCATTAAAGTCCTTGGTCCATCAAGGTCGTGTCCCTGCTCTCTTTCCTTCCTTTTTACTGGGGAGTCTCTTCCAAGAAACGTCTTATCATTTGTTCTTTTAGTCTCACAGCTAACTAACGGAAAAATCATGTCAGCCTTTCAGGTAACTTTGAGAAAAGGTACAAGAATCATTCAAAGAACTCCTATTGCCCTTTTACCCAGATTCATCATTTGTTTGCATTTTCCCCCATTTGCTTTATCATTTTTCTGTCTCTCTCTGTTATTTGTCCTGAACAACCTGAGAGTGAGCTGTGCCTGTTACATTTCTATACCCCTAAATACATCAGTATTCAGTGTTAAGAACATTCTCATCCATAACTACATAATAGCTATCAAATAGCAAGAAACTGACACGGTACCATTCAAATCTCCCTATTTCAGTCCTGGAATCAGTCATTTCTTAAAGGAGCCTTGGTTCTTCACAAAGAAATGTGATTAGAAAACAAGACTCAGAGGCCAGTGTTGTGGCGCAGTGGGTTAAGCTGCCATCTGCAGTGCCTGCATCCCATATGAGCACCAATTTGAATCCCAGCTGCTCCACTTCCAATCCAGCTCCCTGCTAATGCGCCTGGAAAAGCAGCAGCAGATGGCCCAGGTGCTTGGGCTGCTGCACCCATGTAAGAGAACCAGGTGGAGTTCCAGGCTGCTGGCTTCGGGCTGGCCCAGCCCCAGATGTTGTGGCCATTATGCAAGTGAACAGCTCTCTTTAGTGGGTCTGTCTGTCTCTCTCTTTCTCTCTCTCTCTCTCTCTCTCCCTCTTTCTGTAGCTCTGCCCTGCAAATAAATAAATCTTTTAAAAAAAGAAAGAAAAAGAAATCAAGACTTTAGCACCAGGTGTGCTCATTGCTAGAGTGTCACTGCTTTTAAGCCTTTCGGTGGCTAGAGCTGGGAAGTACACCAACACACATGTAAACACACACATATGCACATGGGTAAACACACACACATGCACACACTCACATACACAAATGAGGGCAAGACCTAAAAACCGGTAGTTCCTACTTTCATCTCCAGTCCAGCTGAACAACACAGAAGTTACACCAGCTTCCCTCTTTTCATCAGTGCAAATCTTTTCCCCATGAAAGACCATCATCCTAATATATGCCATCATTTGCTCAAGCCTGGAATTTTCAGAAATTCACATAGGGTAGCTACAGCTCTTAGTGTCTACTGAAAAGCTTTGTGGCCAAACGCTACCTCCTTCTTCCCCTCTTGTGGTTATAACACTCATCGGAAATACAGCTGCTTCTTTCACTTCTGTTTGCATTTAATTTTAGAACTCTCACCCCATCCTTGTCGATGAATTAATTCTGAGTGTAGAAAACATTAACCTGTTTCCAGAAGTCAAAGCAATACAAAAAGTCACACGCACCGAGTGGCACACTCCCATCAAACTCTTCCACCCCAGTCCCACTCACATTGGCTTTTTCTTCCTACATTCCTTTTTGCAAAAATAATCAGACATATTTCCCTGTTAGCTCTTCTTTCTTACACAAAAGGTAGCATGCTACAGAAACTCTTTTCTACTCTGCTCTTTCGATTTTAACAATACATCCGGGAAGTCAGATGAATTCATAGAGTTCTTCATTCCTTAGACACTGCCTGGTTCTGCCTGCTGTGGCTGTGCCATAGTTTATGCAAGCTTGCTCCCATATACGGGCATTTAGATAGCTGTCAATATTTAGTAATTACAAACAAGGCTGCTACAAATAAGGCTGCACACATGTTTGTATTTGGGTGGTATATTATCCGTGTTTACCACTGTAACAGACTCACACGTCAGGCCACTTGGTAAGGAAAAGAGGTTTGCTTTGCCTCACGGTTCTAAAGTACAAGGACAAGGGGCTGCAGGCGGTGTGCGTCTTCTCGTTGACAGAGTCCCAGACAGCATCACCAGGCAAGAGGCAGGGAGCATGCCTGGCTGTGTGTCTCTTCTGTCTCTCACCCTCTTGTCCAGCACAGGGGGGCCCTTTAGGAATCATTGCTCACTGCAGACTTGGGAGCCGGGCAGAAAGCAAAGTTTGTCAGGTGCAGCCAAGCCCCCGTGTGAGAAGTGAGCTCCGGAGCGCGCGGTCTCCCACGCTCTCACACTCGCAGCAACATTTCCACTTCCGCTAATCGAATAGGTGAGAAATGGTCCTATTTTGCATCTCTCTCACCATGAGAAAAAAAAGGAACACTTTTCTAAATTGCTGAAGGACCATGGTTATGTGTCTCTGTGAATTATCTGTGTATGTCATCTACTCAGATTTTTGTTGTTTTTTAAACAATTTTTTAGGATTTTTTTTTTTAATTTATTTGAAAGGCAGAGTTACAGAGAGGCAGAGAGAGAGGTCTTCCATCTGCTGGTTCACTCCCTAATTGGCCGCAATGGCCGGAGCTGCGCTGATCCAAAGCCATGAGCCAGGAGCTTCCTCTGGGTCTCCCACGTGGGTGCGGGGTCCCCAACACTTGGGCCATCTTCCACTGCTTTCCCAGGCCACAGCAGAGAGCTGGATCGGAAGAGGTGCAGCTGGGACAGGAACCAGTGCCCATATGGGATGCTGGCACTGCAGGCAGTGGCTTCACCTGCTATGCCACAGCGCCAGCCACTCACCTGAATTTTTTAAGTGATCTTTCTATACTAAGAATATTAGTTCTTTCAACTCAAATTTATTGATGTGTTTATATCTGGATTTTGGGTCATAATCAGAAAGCTTTTCCCCACATCCAGTTTACACAGGAGTTCACCCAGGTGTCCTAGGAAGCTTCTGTGTTTTTACACCCCATCCCTGTCCCACTTTTCACTTAGTATTATGTATGTATGAGCTGTGGCTCTAGCTTGATTTTTTCCCAAATGATTATACAGTCATTCCATCATTTTTATTCAACAGACCATCTTTGCCCAGTCACTTGAGATGATACTTTATCATCACGCATTAGATTTAGCTTAGGGTCTTTTTTTTAATTTTTAATTTTTTTTTATTTGAAAGACAAAGAGACAGAGACAGTCAGACGGAGATCTTCCATTTGCTAGTTCACTCCCCAAATGCCTACAAGCAGTCAGGCTGGGCCAGGCTAAAGGTAGGAGCCCAGAGCTTCATCCAGGTCTCCCAAGTAGGTCTGTTAGGGTCTGAAAAAGCCCACCGCCCGAGGAACGACTCCAAGAGACTTATTCTCTCATGCAACCAGCAGAGGGTTAAATTTATTGATCCAACATGTTGGGGCCCTCTGACAAGGACAGAGGAGCAATGAGGAACTACAGCATAGGGTTTATAAAGGCAAAAACCGCTAAATCGGGAGGAGGGAGAGAATACACGGTTGCTAAGTGGTTGCTAAAATCTTACAATCAGCAATTATGATCTTAAGACATAGACAAATCACATCTTCATTATTAGCCCAGGTAACCCAGGTGCAACCTTTCTACTTTTAAGCTTGAGCAATCATGCTAGGGGGTTTTTGTGCGTTGCCAAGGGTGATGTAGTGCACTGCTATTGTCCGATTATTTGAGATCATAGTTTCAGACCAGAGTCTCACGGTGGGGGGGTTGCTTTCCCAGAATGCAGTCTCAAGTGCTCCAAAATGGAGTCCCTACTGTCAAGGTGCTACTTCACTCTGCTTTATTTTTACAGCTGCACCAGGAAGGTTTAAACCTGTAAGCTTAAGCTTAACTTTTTACACCCGTACATATACAATTTTAACTCTTCATGTCAAAGGAATCCCAGTACTTGAGACATCACCTGCTGTCTCCTGGGGTGTGCACCAGCAGGAAACCAGAATCAGGGGCAGAGCTGGGACTTGAACCCAAGCACTCGGATATGGGGTGCAGATGTTATAAGTGGCCTCTCAACTACTGTGGTTATGCCAAACACCCTCCCCTCGGGTCTTTTGGTAAAAGTACTAATTTATTTATTTTTTTTATTTGAAAGGAAGAGTTACAGAGAGAAAGGGAGAGGCAGAGAGAGAAATCTTCCATCCACCGGTTCACTCCCCAAGTGGCTGCAATGCCCAGGACTGGGCCAGGTGGAAGCCAGGAGCCAGGAGCTTCTTCCAGGTCTCCCACATGGGTGCAGAGGTCCATGCATTTGGGCCATCCTCCACTGCTTTCCCAGGCACAACAGCAGGGAGCTGGATGGGAAGTGGAGCAGCCAGATCTCCAGTTGGCACCCATGTGGGATGCTGGTGCCCGCAGGCTGTGGCTTACCCCGCTGCTCCACAATGCCTGCCCCTTGGGTCTTTTTCTGAACCTTCTATTCTATTCCACTGATAAATCTGTCTACTGATACCATCTTGCTTTATTCTTGCATCTTAATTTTTAACATAAATGTTAGCATCAATTTGTCTAGGTCAATAAAAAATTTGATGGCATTTAACTGTGATATGTTAAATTTACAAATTATGTTAAATTTACAAATTAGCTTAGGGGACATTAAAATCTCTATGATGTTGTTTCTTCCTATCCATAAACAAATGGCTTTTCACCTTGTCACTTGTTCAAAACTGCTTTTGTTCTTGTTGTTACTGAGGATTCTTTATTTTTTTAAGTTGGTCCCTTTTTATTAATTTTTATTTTTTATTTATTTGAAAGTCGGGGCAAATTCGGAGAGAGATCTTCCATCCACTGGTTCACTTCCCAAATGTCCAAAATAGCTAGGGTTGGATGAGTCCAAAGCCGGGAGCCTGGAACCCAATCTTTGTCTCCTGCATGAATAGCAGGAACTACATGAGTTATCACCTGCTACCTCCCAGGGCGCACATCAGCAGGAAGCTGGAATCAGGACCAGGGCTAGGAGTGGAACCCAGGCCTCTGATTTGGATTCCGACATTAACTACCGTATCAAATGCTCCGCCTCCGGGGCTATTTTTTAATGTCCTTCATATAAATTTTGTAAATTCCTTATTAAACATATTGCTAAGAAGGTTTGTTGTTCTTATTGTCGTTGGGGTTTTCTGTGTCAATGTTGTTGTAACCAGTTATGGCTGGTGTGCGTTAACATTGAGGATC